GTAAAGAGGGTAGAGAGAAACTGTAAACAGAAAAAAATATCAGCAATACAAGAGCAACAGAAAATGAGATTTTTGTAATGAATTCTATTCTGGCTTACAATGCTGGAGAGAGTTCATTGTTGAAGATGCACATTGACGTAGGTGAGAGTAGCAAGCTCTTTAGAGCCTCTTGTTGCAGAAACCATTACAGATGGAAATTGTAAATAGCAAAGATGTTAAGAACAATAAGATCTACAAATAAGTCAACACGGCTGAAATTGTAAACTGTCCATTTAACCCGTTTTATGACTGTTTTTGCAGAGACAAAGGTAGATCAAACAGTCAAAAAGTTACATTTAGATTTCGAAATATGTTTATAAATTTTTATATAAGATTTCTAAAAATCTGAAATTTTGGTTGTTTTCAGACTTTATTCAGTTGTATGATTTATATGTGCATGATGCTTTGTGTTATTTGTTTTGTATACGTTTTTATATTTGGTAAAAAGCTCATCATGTGAGCTTCCGTTTGTATGTTTTATGCTATGCAAAATCAAATAAAGTTTCTATGTCTATGTAGTAGAGAGAAAAAATGTTCAGCAAAACAGGCTCTACAAATGAGTCAACATGCGCAAACCACTGAGAGGAGTAATTGCCCTTGAAAGATGATGTTTTTTTTTTTCATTTTCCATTTTTGCAGTTTTTGCTCGAACTATAATAGTTAGAGAGAAACTGTTAAAAATAAAAAAAAATTAAGTACAATAAGATCTACAAATCAGTCTTATTGCTGAAGTTGTCAATCGACTCCTTATAGAAGTTATTTCCCTTGACTGATGATTTTTTTTATCCATGTTTTTGCATTTTTGTCAAAAACTATCAAAGTTAAAGAGAAATTTTCAAAAGAAAAAAAAAGATAAGCAAAACAAGATCTACAAATAAGCAACTATAACTGATTGCAATAAAAGAAGAAAAAAAATATTTCAAAATGGCATATGAAACTGATGTAATTTTCTTCAAACGGAGAACTCAATATGCAATATTGCTGTCAGCTGGTAGCTATACTGGCGGTAGTTCCATGATTAAAGGTAGAGCCGAATATGCCGTATTTCTGTCAGCTGGTAGCCAAACCGGTGGTAGTTCCATGACTAAAGGGAGAGCTGAATATGCCGTTTTTCTGTCAGCTGGTAGCTATACCGGTGGTAGTTCCATGATTAAAGTGAGAGCCTAATATACCGTAACTCTGTCAGCTGGTAGCTATACTGGTGGTAGTTCCATGATTAAAGGGAGAGCTGAATATGCCTATTTCTGTCAGCTGGTAGCTGGTGGAAGTCTCGGGTGGTGGTGGTAGCCGTTCAAAGAAGCATATGACGAGTTCAAACTTTTTAAAACACATTTATCCTTGGACTTAAATTCATTTAACGTTTTCGTGGAACAAAGTTATGTCATATTTAAGCTTAAAAACACTGTATTTCGAAATAAACTTTTGTTTTCACAGAGAAATTCATGTAAATAAAGCGAATACATTTTACTGTACGGAGATAAGAATAGATAATTTTTGCTATAATTGTTTCTTTGCTTCGGGGTGCCTATATCTAGTGGTGATGCTACATATTACAATATTAGGTCGATGCATGTCCGACAGAAAAATATCAACTTAGTTATTTGTATTCAGCACGAATTTGTTACAGGGCTCGGTAAACCTCGATATTCCCCTCTTTCTAAGCTTCATACAAGAAAGTTGATTTTTTTCTGACCTTGACCTAATATCGCCATCGTCAAAAACAACATATTGTATGGTTTTCAAAACTTTTAACCACTTATACGTCTTTTTTTGTAAAGTCGGCGATATTTTTTTTTCTCTTTTCCATATGATAGAAGTCAATAAACGTATATTTGTTCATTCTAACAGAAGTTCTGCTTGATACTTTGTTATAAACAATATGCTATAATATCTTTTCCTGTTTGAACAAATATTCTATACATATTATTCCGTAAGGTACAAATACTGTACTATTTCATCACTGAGTGGAAATAATATTCCAGGATATTTCGTCCTTCTTAAACTAATATTATAAACTTCTAATCCATGACAACTCTATATATATGTATCCAACTCAACACAAATGAAATAAACCTATACAGAAAAAATCAAAAGCAATATATTAGAAATATATGTTACTGGACGTTATTCAAACAACATTTAACGATCAATGTTATTCAAGCACACACACACCTGCTCTGTTTTAATGACTCCTTACACATGTACTTCATTCTACCCATATATGTGTTATTCTATAGAATGTATGTGAATTCTGAATCAACATTTAACCTAGAGAACAAAAATAATGGATTAGAATCTTAGACGAGAGGATATCCTTATATGTAATTTTGTATAATACGTTTTAAGGACAAAGCACTTACTTTGTGGGTGTTTCTGCTAAAGGGATGTTTATCAGGTTTCAAAAGTATTCTAAACAATGCTAAAATAGGGAAATATATCTATTATGACTATGATTCTGTGTGGTTTTTTTTTTTTGTTAATTGATATATGACAGGTTATATATTTTTGATAAACAAAATATATGAAATGGGTGGGGTACTTGATGTCTCAGCTGCTCACCCCGGCCTACCAAAGAAAGATTGGAGTGACCCCCCCCCCCCCCAAGAACCTTTAATAGAAAACAAATATACAAATGGATAGGAATCTGAAAAGAGATAATATCATTAAACACTGTGCGCCAGGATTCCAGAATTTATATGTAATTTTTTATACGTCACTGGTCCTTTTTTATTTAAGAATTGAATGCTTCTTTTTATAATTCTATTAGGATGTAAAATACGGTCACAGTGACCGCAGAATACTGAAGTTAAGACTTATCGAGCTTGTCGTTTGTTTTTCAATGTATTACTTCAAGTCAGTAACATTGTCACGGATAGCACCGAGGATAGCATGGATAGCACGTGCAGTCATGTCACGGAATAGAAGTTCCTTCATAATATAAGTTCCAAATGGAAAAAATATTCTGGAATATTATTTCCACTGGAATAAATATTACAGTAAATGTTCCTAACGGAATAAATGGTAAAGAATATTTGTTCCAACAGGAACAGGTATAATGACATTGTTTATAACAAAGTTTCCAGTGGAACTTCTGTTAGACGGAACAAATATACGTTGACAGTCATAGCTGTTGTATTTTAGAAACGAAATAAAATAATATGATATTGGAGTGCCTCGCGATTGTTGTCATCCAATCATGGAAAATTGTGGATTCTAGTGAAACATACATGTAATGTAATTATGTATATCTACAATTTCCGCATGTATAGTATATTAGTGTGCTTTTTGTACTAAACGAGTAACTGTGCTTTTAGTACAGACAATTGTTATCTCCCCTACTTTTTTTCTGAATAAGGTTGTTTTTATTTTTTGTTGTTCTTTAAAGTTTAATCAGAAAATAAACAAAATCGATCTAATAATATTATTTATTTCATTTAGTACAATTAGAAAACTTCTAAATTTTAGAGATTATATGTAAAAGTTGTCATTTGACTTATAAAATTTGCCTTTTGTCGTATGTTTTGCAATAGAAGTCTATGAATTAAAATTTCGATTGTATTGTATGACGACAGACCTATACCATAATATATCGTTATACGCCTAGCAGCATTATACGACTATATTACAATTTTTATAGGCTTAGTAATCTAAGCTGTATTGCACCACAATACATCATGCATAAACAACCAATGCTCAAGTCCCCCTCGCAGGCTTCCGGGGGTAATGTGCCATGTTCTCTCAGGGTGTTGATGGGGTTCACAGAAAAGACCAAAGAACAGAGAAACGAGGTGCAAGAATACAAAAAGAGGAGGGTATGGAGAATAGAGAAAAACCACCTTAATAAAATCAAACTGAAAATAATAAATATAAAAGAGGGTCTAGATGGGGTTTACAGAATATAGAATAAGAGACAAACAGGTAGAATCAGAATATAGAAAAATGGACCAATTAAATAACAAATAGAGAATAATGGACAAAAAAAAAAACAAAAAATATAAACATAAGGGAAAAACGGCCAAAAAAATACAGACTACAGAATGAATGACCCCCCCCCCCCCCCCACCCCCCCCCCCCCCCCCCCCCCAATCCAAATCCTCTTAAAAGCCACGTACGTTGAAAAACCACCATTGCAACTTTTTGAGTGGTCATTATGTAGAGGCGGATTTAGGGGGCAGGGGGCCACACAGGGGCGGATCCAGGATTTTAGGTTAGGGGGCGCAAACTTAAATTTTCGAGGAGCGGAGCGAGCGGCGAAAATATTTTTGAGGTAAAATTATCGAAATATTCTTTATTAAGCTGAAGACAACCCATGCTTTGCAAATTTTAGGGGCAAGCATGCCCGCCACGCCCCTGCCTGAATCCACCCCTGTCGCACCCTTATAGAGCTTCATATCTGATAAATGCATAGACTTTTTACTCAGCTTGATGAATTGACTTTTTATTGACTTCGCGGCAAGCCCCGGGGCAATACATATAATACATTACAGGCATATTTATACAATATTATGATGACTCCGTTGACATTGCGTAGTTGAAATTCCTATTTTTAAGTAAAACATTTTTAACAATGATATTTTTGTCCCCATTATGCATTATTTTGTTTCCACTCTCTCTATCATGAATATTATCAGAAGTCCATTACTCGTGAGAGGTACTCACCGCTGTGGATAATAAACTAGGAATTGATAGTCATCAGCAAATTCATGTGATTTCTAGTGTAGTTATGTTAATATAATAACAGAGAAAAACGCGAAAATAATTGAAATTGAAAGAAAACCAAAAAAATAACGGATTTTAGAAAAAAAGGGGGCTAAAACATTTTTCCTGTCCCCAAGAACCTATACGTGAAACAGCAATCATCGCTATTCTAGTTAAAACACTAAAAGGATTTTAAAGGTATAAATAAACAAAAAACTTGATTTATTGTAAAGTATATTACCCGGAAGATTTGTGATTGCACCGGATTGGTCCAAGAAATGCACTCTTTTCACGCCGGATGTTTTTCCTGTATGTTAAACACGTGTTTTTAACGAGACAGAAGACAGGTTCAAGCTGTTTAAAACATTTTGGTTAGTATATTGAAGGATTTCATATAATATTCTCCTTTGTTTATTTATAAGATAATTAATAGTAAAACTGTCATCGTAAAGTTGTCGGCAAGGATTTGACTTACTATACAAATCCTTGTTGTCGGTCAAGTGGCTTACACTTTGTCCTAATTAATGACCTTAAGAAATTGAGGGTAGCATTTGAAAAGTTTTGATCTAACATTCCAGTGACATACTATCTCATTCATACAAGTATTAAGGACTAAGGCTTGCAAGGTTGATGTGTATAACTGTATCAGTAATAAATATTCACAAATTATGATCAGTGGCGGATTCAGGGAGGGGGATACCAGTTAACACCCCTTGCCTCTGGGTTTGATGACATTATTTTTAATCCCCTGCGACTGAAAATTAACGGGCATATTGTTTTTCCCCTGTCCATCCGTCCATCCTTCCATCCGTCCCATTATGGGTATAAATTATAGCTATTCCAGATTATTCAACTCCTCCTACAGTTTGAATGCTAGGACAGTCAGGGATATAACTCTATAGGGTTATTACAGAAAAATAACATACATTTGTTATTGTGGACTAAAAAATCAAAGAACTGTGATAACATATGTATGTTACATGTTTCAAAGGGACAATATACATCACTAGTTTAGTTAAAATGCATACAAGTTCTATTGATATTACTATTGTCTTTATGTATACCAGAGACATATAATACAAGAGATTCGCAACTCTGCGAAATCCCGTAATAACACACGGCCACTAGTTAAACCTCGCGAGATCTCCTTAGGTAATAAAGTCATTAATAAAAGTATTAAAAGTACTCGAAGTAAGGACGAATGTTTAAGCATAACATAAACTGTTTCAGTGTTAAATTTATCATAATTAATTAAATATAATTTGAGTACATATATAATTATTTATTTTAATGTAATTTTGATTTTAGATTTGTATTATTGAAAAAGAGACATAATTTGATATTGTATAAAAAAAAACTGATATTAAATAATTAACACTTGATAAATTGTGTCAGAGTTCATTTTATTTGATAGTTACATAATGGGTTTCTATTGAATATACACCTGTCTCGGAGACATAATTTCACAGTGTGACATGTATATTAGGTTTGAATTATTCGATGACCAGGTAAATCACGAACATGTTATAAATAATGAGTTTTAATTGACACCTTGTTAACAAGAAGTTGTCACACCACAGGTGTCCACACTCTTTCCAAAAATACAATTCACAAAATGTATAATTAATTAATATGGAAAAAAACTTAATTTATTTGTTAATTAATTGTTAATCATGATAGGCTTTGTTTTTTATTCTTGATATTTATAAATTATTAAAATTTTATTTATTTTTATATTCCTCATTTATTGGGCTTTCATTGAGTTTTTTTTCTGTAGGATTGTCGGTAAATGTTTGAATTCTAAGTGTTGTTTGACAGTTTTATCATATAGGCTTGCATTGAGTTGTTTTTTTAAATGATTGTCGGTAAATTTATGGTTTCTTCATGTTCGAAGTGTGTATTGAGAATTAATATTTAAGAAAATTACAATTAAATTCTCATTTGAATAAAGCTTCATTCATGTGCACGCAATATGGAAAATTCCGATTTTATTTCGTGGGATGACAATCTTAATAGTTACGACTTAGATATACTCCTAGTTGAATAAACTGATAACGAACTCTTTGTTGATAGTGAAAAGGACGAAAACATAAGCGAGGTGACCCACCAACAAAAACAATTGACAATACTGCATACATAGATGGATATGTGTGTCCTCGAAGCAACAAAAAATCTATAAAAAAACACAGGTCATACATCAAAGCAACACGGAAGACACTATTTAAAAAGTATTTTATAACCTTGTTTCCACGAGACAATCATTTGTAGTGGTTTTTGTCTTTTAATCATTTGTAGCGGTTTTTGTCTTTTTATTCTGGGGTAAAGAGATGGCAATTTAAAAGTAAGATTGTTTATGTGTATACATAAACAAATCCTTGGTGTAAATAAAATCTTTTATTATCATATATATATATATATAAAAGTCTAAATTGAAAACAACGTTCAAACCTATGATTGCGTTGGATAAAAACCGCAATTTTTATGCGTGTGCATGTAAAACAAATTTCTTGGTAGAGGGGTCTAAATACAGCACAAACAACAATTTCCAAAAGACCAAAAAAAGTGAAAAAGTCTATTTTAACAAAACGCATTTGACTTACAGGTCGAACAACTGATGTTCTTAAACCCTGCTGACTGCCATTGGCGATTGCCAAATAAATTGATCACCAGATCTAACAAAATGGATCTTAATATTAATTAAATACCAAACAGAAAACAATAAACTTGTGGAAAAGATGATATACCACAAACATATATATATATATATCTTTTGCAGTCACCATTGAAATGTCCTCAATACGATTTTAATTTAAAAATGAATTAGGTTCATGTTTTGAACGAGAAGCGTAGTCTGAAACGACAACAGATGCATATGAAGCTCATTCATAATATTACGACCAGCAGAAGGTTTCCTTTACTAGGAAAATTTTACTCCTTTTGTAAATTTACTGCATTCGTTCATCTTTGGCACCCTAAAAAGAAGAAAAAAACAATGACTTCAGAATAGGAGAAAATAAACAACTTTGCTATAAACAGAATGAAAAATGAATAAAATGTCTAACAAAATGCAGGCTATAAATTTCATAGTGCACAAAAAAGAAGGACTGATTTAAGGAAATTTGTCCATGAACAATTTCAATATTTAGCCAGTTTAATAAAAAATTTCGGGTATCAATCAGAAAAAATCGCCACATTGTTGGTTCAAATTTTACGAAAATAGTCTTATTTTCAGTCACGAAACAACATTTGGGAGTACTATTGGCCCATAAAATTATATATTTATTAGCATATTTTTCAAGTTTTAAGAAAAAAATTGGGAGATCAAATGGTTTCTACGGCAATAGGTGAAGTAAAATGGGCCGAGTTTTAACTTTGTTTGTATTTGATTAATCTCATCATTAGAACACATTTTATCAATAACAAATTATTAGAATTAGTTTTTTGTAACTTTTAAATATACTTGCATGCTTTAGCTGTGAAAGGTATCGGCATTATCCATTAGAAAAATCGTGAGGCGTAGAACCTTTTACACAACAATACGGGTTATTACCCATAAATCCATCGGATTAATCGGCTTTCCGGTGGCCACGTCATTTCATTGGCTGTTATATAGACTCTACTAGAGTTGCGAATCTCTTGTATTATATGTCTCTGTGTATACTTAACTATAGAAAGATATAACAGTTCATAGTTTGCCAATTTTGCATAGTACACCTATATGTTATTACAGAAAAAATATGCCTGTAATAACTAAAGGGTGTTATCACAGCTTCTCTATATCAGAGACATATATGTCTCTGTCTATATCACTCCAAAGCATTTTCTCAGACATACATCATGCTTAATTACAATGTATTTTAATTTATTGTAAGAAATAATGACCAGAGCATGTAATGAGGTTCTGCAAAAGCTTCCCAGTAATTCCCAAGTGTCTCCTATAATAAGTTACATTCCTTTAATAACTAAGCTATGTTATTACAGCTAAGTTTATCCCTTAAAAGCCTCGTCTCATTGATTTACCATGGTTAATCAAAAATGTATTAATTTAAATAAAAAATTAATTATCAAGGCTATGCATTTAGTTTCTGCGCAAAGTCTCAAGAGTTCCCTAGAACCCATTATAAATTAAAATATTTTTGATTTATTTTACAAATAACAAACATATGTTATTGCAGATTTAGAAAATTTAAGGAATAAAGAGTAGACAACTCATGAAAGTATCTGTAATAACACACGCAAGTTATTTTCTGTAATAACCCTATAAAGTTATATCTCTGACTGTAGTAAGTTTTCACTTTGCTGGCGGTTTGTACATATATTGAAGGTGTGCATGTGGTTAGGGTTTTGATTTTTATTAATATTTGCTCTTTTGGGAGATAGTTGAACTTTGTCATTTTTTGGATTATATACTTGCATAAGAAGTGCATAGTGTTTCCAGATAACTTCTCCTACAGTTAACCATAGACCTATATGCTCCCATGCACAACTTTGTGTATTTTAGAATAACACTTTGCATCTGCGGGGGCATTATTTGTGTCTCCCAGACTCAAAGAAAGTCCTACATTGACTTTGTTATAATACAGTTACTTCAGATTGGAGTGCGGGGGCATCACTTTGTCTAGTATGCTAGTTTTCGTTTAAAATAAAAAAATATTCTACTATCTATTGTTAAGTCAATCAAATCCAATTGAATAATGTTGTACATTTTAGGCACGCATATCATGCATATTATGTCATTATAGTTATGACACAAGAATCAGAAATTCTATTTTATAATAAGGTATAGGGCATCTCAAAGATCGACAATATTTAAGATGCCCCTATACCTTATTATGGACGATCTTTGAGATGCCCCGATACTTAATTATTGATGATCTTTGAGATGCCGCTATAGCTTATTATTGATAGAATTTCCCATTCCTGTGGTTATAACAATGTTTCCAGGGGAAATTCTGTTAGGCGGAACACTAATTATGTTGACAATCAGACGACATGCAATGTATTTTAAAAGATATCGATGAAATTATAGATCATTGAACTTGTTTTCAATTATATTAAGTTATCGACAAATTAAAAAGAATGGTGACAATTTTTGTTTGTTAAAAAATGATAAATTCTCTGTTTTTCATGGTTTGTGTGAATGGCTTTTTCAACAATTTCAGTGTCCAACGAAATATAACATTTGGTGTTCCAATTCAAGACATTGAAAGATACACATGTAGGTTTGATTACATGGATACAGAGGTATACAATCTAAAGAATACATCGAATATCAGAGAACACACTATGAACTTTATACAGTGGCGTAGCACCAGTTTAGCATATACAACTACAGACAGGATTTTACCCATTTAATCTTTATAAAAACCTAAACTGTACAATTTTTAACCTTTTAATTCTCATGAAAAATTAGTTTTGATCCAATAAAGTCAGACTTCCGGTGATGATATGCGATGATGTCATGTTCATTTTATCTCCTCATAATTCTCATACGAAAAAAATCATATTTCATAAGAATTAGTTCTACAACTCGGAATACATTTGTAGCATTTTTCATGTTACCGTTTTTTTTTCAAGCGACATGTTTATGGCCCAATTAACACCCTTCATGCCCTTGATGTTTGTTAATCTGTTTATTATTCAATCTCGGGTTAATCAATGTCATCACTTATGATGACCCATGTGCAACAATCATAATATTTACTTTACAATTTCCTTCAATCAAGAAAATTTATAGATGACTAAACTTTTTTCCAAAAGCAATTTATTCAGACCTTCTTATAATAATAATAAAAAAATAGTCTATGTAAAGTTCTGTTATACATTGAAGTAAAAAGCTTGATTTTATTAAAATTCTTAAACCATTATTATCAGTAAGAGTTTTAGCGTAGAAAAGATAAACCTCTTGTTTCATCATAATGTTATGATCTGTTATGATATGAAGATTAAGAATGCAAAGTCATTTTGACAATGCACTAATGCATTGAAATTCCTGTTAAGTAATGGATGCATGCATACATCACACTTTGACACTAAAACATATATTGTTTATAAATTGAAGTAGAGAAAAAATATATTGGAACTGCATTCTTGTCTTTACTGAAAAGATAAGATGATAAAAGACTTTTAATCCATGGATTACCAATCATTGAATTGACTTGCAGACTATGTTTTAAATTCAATTATATTTATTGTTAAAGTGTCAGTTTTAAAAAAGAGAGGCCAAAGATACCAAAGGGACATTCAAACTCATAAGTTGATAATAAACTGATAACACCATGGTGTTATACTGCCATAGGTCATGTAGGCTATAAATTTTACTTCATTGACAGCTTTATAACCTGTAAGGAGATTATCCAAGCATTGAGGTATATATCCATACAAGGAAATGATTTGAAATTTCAGTCTAGAATAACTTTAACAATTGTTCAACTTATTTAGACCCCAGTTAGATAGAGTCAGGTGATATTATAGGAATCCTCATGTCCGTCCATCACAATATTGGTTTCCAAATAATAAATTGATAATCTCTGTTTGAAATTGATTGAAATTTTAATGGAATGTTTTGGACCACTAAACCTATGCAGGTTAACTAGGAATTTATGGTATTCACTTCTACCGTTCCACAGAGTTATGATACTTGATAGTAAACATGGTAAATGGAGAACCCTTTATGAACTTGATTGAATTTTTAATGGAATGTTTTTGACCACAGATTAAGTTTGACTTTTGTCATTTTCACTTTTCCCATTCCAGATATGGTTCTTGATTGTTAGAAAAGTTCAAAATATTATGGTTTCTGAATACTATAGTAAAACGAGAACCAAATAATAAAATTGATTGAAATTTTAATGAAATGTTTTTGACCACCAGACACAGATTCAGTTACACTTTCGTCGTTTTCACTTTTACCATTCCAGAGTTATGGTACTTTACTGTTGGAAAAATTCAAATTTTGTGGTTTCTGAAAAAATGGAGACATTCTTTATGAAATTGGTTGAAATTTAATATATAACAGAATATTTTGGACAGCTTAATAAAATCATGATCTCTCAGTTACTGAGGGCAGGGGCATCTGTGATCACTAGATCACCTCTCTAGTTTGGTTTATTGATTTTAAGAGGAAACAACATGTACATGTGCTATATGGACGGGGACCTTATTATCCCCATTACTTCAATGCAATTTTGTCCAAATTGAGGGGCAGATTTTTTATCCCCTACATAATAAAGACTGGAAAATTTAAATTACTTTCTCATACTACAATGTACTAGTAGCCCCCTTCATGGTTTCTGGGAGAATTCTTGTAAGGTCATGACCAGCATTTAAGAGAGCAATAAGTACTGTTTTGAGTATTAATAGGGTCATTTTATTAACTTCCTGGTTAAAATCAAAAATAAAATTCGGACCATTTACTCAGACAAGCATCCACCCTTTACATTTCAGAATCACTGAAAATTTAACAGAAGTTGAAAGTTTAATGAATACCTTTTAGATATACTACAAATTTAAGCATCTTTTACATAATGTTCATCTCGGTACAATATCCCATTTAAAAGATGGTAGATTTATTAATGGACTTCATTCGTGGGTACTGGACTGGTATCCTGTAACTGGGATCCTATTCCGTATTGTAACATATCTGTAATAAAGATTAAAACTTTTGCCAGAGTAATGGCACTTGAATGGAAAGCTGTAGCCCGCCTCATGGTGCAGGATTTTACCACTGCGGTAAAGACCCAACAATTGGTGGCCTTGGGCTGTCTTCTGCTCTTTGGACGGGTTGTTGTCTCTTTGACACATTCCCATGCCAGTTTCCATTCTCCATTCTACTAAGTCAGTAAAATAGGTGCAACATATGGTGCATAATGAGCCAAAACAAAAAGTAGAAACTGATGCGTTGGTTTCAGAATTCCTTCATGCAACAAGTTGCGGAGGGTATAATGTTTTTGACCCGTCCGTCCGTCAGTCCTGTTTCTTGTCATCGCAACTCCTCTGAAACCAGACAACAGAATTTCAATTTTTTTTTCTTATACAATTTTTTTTCTTACTGTTATTTTATTTCTCCAGTGACAATGTGGGGACGTGGGGTATGTGAGCGCGCTCACTAAGGTTTTTTAATTTAATATATTTTTGTACACATTGGATTCTCTGTATAAAGTTGGAACTACTGAAAACAACTGTCAACAAAAATTTTAAAACAATCTTAAAGTTTATATAATGGTTTTGTAAAGTTCTAATGGCAGCATTATCATGATAATTGTAGTTAACTTTCTTTACAGCATGTAATTGTCAGTGATTGGATAAATTGATAGATTGTTATTGATTACATGTAAAAATCAGAGAAATCAGAGTTTTTACAAGAAATCCTTCAAGCAATCCATTTCTTTTGACATTTAGAATCATGGCCAGCCGTGGATGCAGAGTCCACATTTAATATGGTTTGACCATGCTCCTATGTTGCTATAGAATCCTATCACAAACTTTCTTTAGGACTAGGAGTCTGTGCCACAACATATCTGTGGCCATCATTCAATCAGGGAAGATATACAAAACAAACATTTGAACCATGACATTGATTTAACTTTATATTTCAGTATGAACAGTGGTCGTCTAATTAGAAATATAATGAAGGCAGTGAGGGTAGCTCAGTTTGGAGGTCCAGAAGTGTTGAAAGTGGAAGAAAATGTACCGATACCAAAACCACAAGATAATCAGGTTTGTACCAAATCTACATCTTCACATATTTATATAAAGTTTGTAATTAGTAACACACCCCAGACATCATGGACATATCTCTGTATAAACAGTTTTTATGCCCTTGACTGTCTGGGTTTCATCTTTCCGTCCTTCCAGATTTTTTGTTCTACACTCTTGTAACTTAAGTTTTTCTCATTCAAATTTAATGAAACTCATACACAAAGCTAATAATCATAAGTTGCAGACAGAGTTCGAATTTGGGCAGTGAGTCACTTACCATTCTAGAGTTATGCCCCTTTTTAACTTGGAAAAAAATGCAAAGCGTGAGCAGGGGCATTCGATTCCTCAGACACATTCTTCTTTTATCATGTTTATTGAAAATGTTTTCCAAGAATCCTTTTAAAAGCAAAAAATGCAAATACAATGTAATGAATGGAACAATGTACAACTATATATATGAACTCTTCAAAAAAAAAAAAAAAAAAAATTGAGAATGGAAATGGGGAATATGTCAAAGAGACAACAACCCGACCAAAGAGCAGACAACAGCCGAAGGCCACCAATGGATCTTCAATGCAGTGAGAAAATCCCGCACCCGGAGGTGGTCCTCAGCTGGCCCCTAACTAAAATTGTGTGCTAGTTCAGTGAAAATGGACTTCACACTAAACTCCAAAACATATAAATGAACTAAAATTAAAAAAAACATACTAGACTAACAAAGGCCAGAGGCTCCTGACTTGGGACAGGCGCAAAAATGCGGCGGGGTTAAACATGTTTTGTGAGATCTCAACCCTCCCCCTATATAATAGCCTGCATGAGACTACTTGAAAGTTATACACTTAACATGCTTAATCCACTGAATCAAAGATTGAATCTGGTGGTCATGTTTTCTATCAGTACTCGACCAAATAGGGATTATTTGTACAGAACCATTTATACATCATTTGGTCAAATGGTCAAGTAGTTTCCGAGAAGACAAAAAAAAAAGTTTTTTATTTGAAGGTGTTTTGTGAAAATTGTCACAGAGATAAATAGTGTGTTCATTATCATGATTATTAAACAGGTCCTTGTGAAAGTATATGCAGCTGGTATTAACCCTGTGGATACTTATATCAGAAGTGGAACATATGCTGTGAAACCTGCCCTGCCTTATACACCAGGGAATGATGTAGCCGGAATTGTAGAGAGCATTGGTAAAAATGTCACAACTTTAAAGGTAATTCAGTTTTATTTACCATTTAGGCCATACATGTACAACAAATGATGATGGGAAACATACAAACATGTTTAACACCTCCACATTCTCTATGTGCCTGTCCCAAGTCAGGAGCCTGTAGTTCAGTGGTTGTCCATGTTGTCGTTGGTTCATGCCTTCTTTATGTGCCTGTCCCAAGTCAGGAGCCTGTAGTTCAGTGGTTGTCGTTGGTTCATGCCTTCTTTATGTGCCTGTCCCAAGTCAGGAGCCTGTAGTTCAGTGGTTGATGTTGGTTCATGCCTTCTTTATGTGCCTGTCCAAAGTCAGGAGCCTGTAGTTCAGTGGTTGTCGTTGGTTCATGCCTTCTTTATGTGCCTGTCCCAAGTCAGGAGCCTGTAGTTCAGTGGTTGTCCTTAGTTCATGCCTTCTTTATGTGCCTGTCCCAAGTCAGGAGCCTGTAGTTCAGTGGTTGTCGTTGGTTCATGCCTTCTTTATGTGCCTGTCCCAAGTCAGGAGCCTGTAGTTTAGTGGTTGTCGTTGGTTCATGCCTGTCATATTTGTTTTTCATTAATTGTATTGTATAAATTAGGTAGTTAGCTTTCTCATTTGAATTGTTTCACATTTTTCATGTTGGGACCTTTTATAGCTGACTATACGGTATGGGTTTTACTCAATGTTGAAGGCCTAATGATGACCTTGAATTGGTTTTATCTTCTTCATTTAAACTCTGGGGGAAATTTGTCTCTTTGGCAATCAGACCATATCTCCTTATTTGTATATTTAACATTTTACAAATGAATCTCTGTTAATGATGTGTTTCTATTCATCTGTACACATGTTCATTGTCTCAGATTTGGTTGAGTTTTAATTAAAGAACTTACAACTCAATGATAACCATTACATGCATTGCTGAAAAATATCTTTTGATGCAAGCAAAATTTTATATTCATCTGTTAAGATATTTGGTTTAGAGGGTACATCTTTGACAGTCTTTGCAAGGTTGAAGTTTACCTACTCTGAAAGATGGAAACTTTTTGTTTTGACATCCTCTATATCTCTCCTCCACTGTCCATCCACAAAATTTCAAAACTTGGTATTACAGTACTGGTACTTTCAATACTATAATTTTAAAAGATAGAAGGATGACTCCCACTCAGATTACATAGGGGAATCACTATGTTATAAGTATGTATCTATACATTTTGAATCTGTATCTCCATTTAAACAAATGAGTGGCTTTCAATGAACATTTTAAAATTCTTACGTACTGTTTTAATGGGAATAACTGTACTCAACGGTTTTCTTTGAAAAAAGGAGATGTGGGGCATTTTCACTGAATCAGCAACATGAGACAGAAAAACGAACCACAAAAATAACAAAAAGACTTCCATTGGTCAACATACAGTCATGAACAAAAGACAGGTGTCTATGCAGTACAGGTATGTCAATCTCTAAAAAAACCCAACTCCAAATAAGTTGTAAATGAGAAACTATCTGCCTGATCTGCCATCAACACCAAGTTTTCCTAGTAAAGAAAAAATCTAAGCATCGAAATATGACATATTACAATTACTATGCTTATTTGCTAGTGTAATTATAAAACTTATATTTAAAACATTTTCATTAATTTAGGAAGGAGATCGAGTATTTTCAATGAGAACAGTTACAGGAGGCTATGCTGAGTTTTGTCTTACAGAGGAACAGTTTACACAACCTCTTGATGAAAACTTAACATTTGAGCAAGGTGCTGCACTTGGTGTTCCTTATTATACAGCTTATAGGGCCACAGTTACATCGTAAGTTATTCCTTATACAGCCTATAGGGCCACAGTTATATTGTAAGATGTTCTTCATACAGTTTGTAGGGCCACAGTTATATTGTAAGCTATTCATTATACAGCTGATAGAGCCACAGTTATATTGTAAGCTATTCCTTATACAGCTTATAGGGCCACAGTTATATTGTAAGCCATTCCTTATACAGCCTGTAGTGCCAAGCTATTGCTTATACAAACTTTAGGGCCACATTTATAAGTTTTTTTGTAATATACAGGTGATAGGTCCATATTTATATATAGTAAGCTGTTCCTCATTATACAGCTTATAGGGCACCAGTTGTATTGAGCAACATGTATATTTGTAACTTTTATATGTTGAAATTTAAGTTCTCTTTTGAAAAAAATTAATATAACCAAAGCTGCTTTAAGGTGAAGTCATGAATGGTTGAATAGCATGAATAGATTGATGTTTTAACATCCAGACTGTGTCAATATTACATGCATATATCTAGATAAGATATGAAAACATGTTTATCTGATATGAATATGAACTCTGCTTTGTAGTAAACTAACATCCTTAGCTGAATTTTTAACATGCTAGTTCGCACAGAGTGTTGGAAGTCAAGTTACCCTACCAAGACATTATTCTGACTGTGAGCAGACTAGTCTGTTTTTACTCCTGCATACTTAGTGGAGGATCAGCAAATATACCATTTTTTGAGATTTTGGTTTCCCTAGCATGGGAATTGACCTCACAACCTCCCACTAAAAAAATGTAGGTTATACACTCAGCATAGATACTAGGCTTAAAATTTTTGTACACCAGATGTTTTGTTTGATGATGTGGTTTATGCAGATTGACTTCAGGTCAACCATTATTACTCATTCATAAAAAACACAACAGCTCAAGATTGGTGTATTGGGATTCTAACACAAAAATCAGCTAAATTATTTTCTATGGAATGTTCTAAGCTCTGACTATTTATGACATCTTTACTCTAAATCCTTTGGGTGTTGGATGTGTACTGATTGATATTTTAGTCTTAGATGCATGATTTTTTTTGTTAGTTGTTATTGGCTTTGAACTAGCTGTCAGTAACTGCGAGTACTCTCAGATCTGTACTTAGTGTCATTTTGTTGTGGGGATGTATAAGTGCCCATCCACGTCCACTCTGTGTTTTTGTTGGATGTATTTCTATTAAATTTGTATCCATCTGATGAGTTCAGCCTTTTTCAACTGATTTTTATAGTTTGTTTTTATGTTGTACTGTTACACCATTGTCCCAGGTTAGGGGAGGGTTGGCACCTCCAAACTAGTTTAACCCCACCACATTCTGTATTTTCCTGTCCCAAGTCAGGAAGCTGTAATTCAGTGGTTGTCCTTTGTTGCTGTGTAACATATTTGTTTTTTGTTCATTATTTTGTACATAAATTAGGCCAGTAGTTTTCTCGTTTGAATTGTTTTACATTTGTTATTTCGGGGCCTTTTATAGCTGACTATGTGGTGTGGGCTTTGCTCACTATTGAAGGCCGTACGGTGACCTATAGCTGTTAATTTTTGTGTAATTTAGTCTCTTGTGGAGAGTTGTCTCATTTGCAACCATACCACATCTTCTTATTTTTATATCTTCATTATGATTATAATAAAAAACCATAAAAGTTGAACATTCATGATTGAAGATTGATATTGTAAAATATGCTGCTTATATATATGACTTTTGGTTCTTTTGTCTTTTGTTGCAGTATCATTTACACAACATCTGCTTTTATTAATATTAAATAATTTAGTGATAGTTTTTCTGTATACATGGCATATATGTTTCTAAAAAAAATTAGAGCAAATTTATGTTTTCTTTTAGAGGTAAAGCGAGAGCAGGAGAAACTATTTTAGTACATGGAGCTAGTGGTGCAGTAAGTAATATTACATAGATTTGATTTGATTTTTGGTGTTTTAACGCCACTTTTAAGCACAGCTTTTGGGCTATTTCGTGGCGGCCAGTTTTTATTGGTGGAGGAAGCCGGAGTGCCCGGAGAAAACCACCGACCTTCGATAGGAAAACTGACAATCCTAGTCAATTAAGATTGGAGTCGAGTAAACCCGCACGAGCGGGGTTCGAACTCACAACCTCAGTGTTGACTGGCTAGTGATTACAGTAGTAACTACTTAGATCACTCGGCCACAATATTACATAGAATCATATTATATAATACATAAGTGTTTGTTTGTTTGTTGGAGTTTAGCTCCACATTTGTGTCAATTTTTTGGGTGGTGGAAGAAGCCAGAAAGAACCACAACCTTTGTCAGGAAAACGAACTTTCAATCCTTGTCAGTAATAATCAGAGTCTTAGCACCTCACCATGAGTTGGTTCATCCTCACCAACTTCAGTGTTACCAGGCTAGTGATCATGGCAGATAAACTACTTACATCACTGCCATGGAGGTTCTCATATATTCCTTGAAAACTATTTAAGGTGGTACCAAACACCTTGACTCAAATCAATTTAGCTCGTTTAATTTTCATAAAGATTTGACAAAATATTTATTTTGACCCTTTGACAAAAATATAAAAATTTCAAAAAGCTTGAACCACACACATTATCGGAAAAATTTCTTTGGATATATGGATAGCAGTTTGACAAACACTTGTTTTGATCATTGAGAAGCTTAATATTTCCTTAACAATAGAAGGTGATTATAATGGTCTGCTGATTTTTACAGAGTTATCTCCCTGTAGTGTTATGTAGCACCTTAAACCAGATTCTGTAACTTAACCTGACCTGAAAATGTTCAGTCTTGATGAAGTTTCATTAGGATATTTCACTATGTTGGTTAGGAGATACCAATCAAAAACCTTAATTTCTAGGACAGATAACATCATGACAAAAAGAGAAATAATAAAAATGACACAAAGATTGATTGATTTTTGCTTTACACTGCCTCAGCATAAAAACGCAACAGTCCACTTGACTCATTACTTAAGATTGAGGGACATTAACCCAACCAAAAACCTTGGGTTAACTGAGGTGCCTCAGATGGTTAAGTGAGTAGTTTTTGTTCTATTGGTGACACCTGTTTCTTTTAGATTTTCTGTTTTAATGTTTACAGGAATTTGTGTTTTTATCAATTGTTGCTTCGAAATTAGAGTATATAAAACTTAATAATAATAATTCAGAAATTATTTTCGATGTTTTTATTAATGCCAAAAGTGCAATAGTAACAGCTGGGTCTGCAATAATAAAACCTCACATTCATAATTTCAGTAGTAGTTTTCCTTTTTAAAATATTTGCAATAAAATTAATTAGATCTCACATTTATACCAATAATCAATGATTCGCAAAAATAAATGCACACATTAATTTCTGCATTTACAGTATATCTATTGTTTAATTTACTTGTATCAGTGGATTTATCCTTTAAATGATACTGTAAATTCAGAAATTATTGCGTGCATTTATTATTGCGATTTTGTTATTTTAGACTAGAATGCGATTTTAATTTTTGCGATATTGAGAAAAATCCTGTTTAATTCAAATAAAAAATTTCAAAATGAGAGTATAAATTATTGCGATTATTACCCTGTCGCATTTTTCGCAATAATAAAAACGTCGCAATAATTTCTGAATTTACAGTATTAGAATACTTATGTATAAAATGTTGTAAAGTGAACAGGGAAAATTTACAGGATAGGTAATATTTAAAAAAAAATTTTACAACAGAAAAATGAGTTTTGTAAAAAAAATATCTCATTATATACTTTTTATAATCTATTCACTAATTGTTTATTGGAATGTAAATATCTTTTAGGGGTGAATTAAGTATGACCTTGTGAGAAAATCAAACCCCAAGATGTTTTGAAATATATATTTAATGAATTAAGTTATTCTGTTTATCACAGTATATACTGTATCTGTTGAGAGAGGTGTATATGCATTTCCTGGGCTGGAGGTATATCTTAACGGCAAACAGATTGTTGTGTCATCACTTAAAGTACGATAGACAACTGAATTACAGTCATCATAGCCCACACACAAGTAAATACAATCCATAAACTCGATCTTTCTAACTTGCCATGCTGATACTGATCTTGATGTCCACAGGGTGGCAACAGGAACCAATTTCTTGTAGAACACTTCTTTGATTGTAGAACCTGCAATGAAAAAAGAGTTTACAGTGAATACATTATTACTCGTTGAGTTCCAATTTTTGTGGATTTTGTTGGTATAGGTAGCCACGAATTCAAGTGTTCAACAAAATACCATTTTCCATAGGCTTATGCAGATTTGGTCAAAACTAGTTTGCATGTACCATTCATAGATATAAGAAGATGTGGTATGTGTGCCAATGAGACAACTCTCCATCCAAGTCACAATTTGTAAAAGTAAAGCATTATTATAAGGTTGATTTCATCTCACTCTAAAGTGACTAAAGCTCTCAAAATCCTAGCTTAAACCTTGATTATAGATCAAAGTACGGCCTTCAGCACGGAGCCTTGGCTCACACCAAACATCAAGCTATAAAGGGCCCCAAAAATGACTAGTGTAAAACCATTTAAACAGGAAAACCAACGGTCTAATATTTATAAAAAACGAGAAACGAGAATTACTTATGAACCACATCAACAAATGACAACCACTGAACATCAGGTGCAAACAAATGCAGCAGGTTTAAACGTTTTAATAGGCACCAACCTTCACCCTACCTGAAAAAATAGTGTAACATAACAACATAGAAAGACACACTATTAAATATCAATTGAAATGGCTTAACTCAATCAAAAGACATATTAACAAAAACAAGTGAACATACACTGAACGAATAAATTTGATCTATGACATAATGTAAATACAAAATTAATAAAACAAGGGGGTTAGATGTAAAACAATATCAGAAAGACAACCATAACCTTGGAAAAATGCCGCCAAATAAAATAACGTACACAGGTAAATAAAAATAATTTTGTTGTAAGGTCATGACCTCTTTTTCACAGTTCAGAAGGACAGATCTTATATATCTCCATAAACTCCCACTCTTGATTGCTATTCCTCATGGTACTTCTTCATGAATTTTAGTATGCTACTCAGGAACATAAATGTAGATAGAATATTTTAGGTGTAATTTTCATAAATCATAATTATACCCCTCAGCATTATTTTGAGGGTTATATAGGAATCACCCTATGCATTATAGAACATGTTGCGAAAATGGTTGGAATGTCAATGCAAGGTCAAGGTCACTCAAAGTGTATAGCAATCATGTAGAAGCTTGTGCCATCATCTCATCAGTTATTTATCTCGTGTCTTTTTTTTTTAACAAATTCAAAATTTTTGCGGCCATATAATAGTATGACATTGTCGTCGTGTGTGTATTCGTCGTCCGAAGACATTTGGTTTCGAGACAATAACTTGAGTATGAGTGTATGAATCTCTTTGAAATTATACCACAAGGTTCCATACCACAAAAGGAAGGTTGGGAATGATTTTGGGGGTTACTGTCCTAATTGTTTAGGAATTAGGAGCCAAAACTAAGCATTTTTCTTGTTTCAGGACAATAACATGAATAACTTGTGTAGAAGTGTATGGATCTCTATGAAATTGTACAACATGGTTTTATACCTCATAAGGAAGGTTATGATTGATTGTAAGGGTTATGGTCCAAATCTTTTGGTAATAAGGGGCCAAAAAACAAGGATTTTCTGGGTTTCAGACAGTTTATGAATCTCTCATGAAATTGTACCACAAGGTTTCATACCTAAAAAAGGAAGGTTGGGATTGATTTTGGGGGTAATGGCCTAACCGTTTAGGAAAAAGGGGCCGAAAACAATACTTACTTGGGGTTCTTTAATATGCTGAATATAACTGTGTATTTAGATTTTTGATTTTGGAACTGGTTTTCAAATTGGTCCACATTAAGGTCCAAAGGGTTCAAAATTAAATTTAGTGTGATTTTAACAAAAATTGAATCCCTAGTGTTCTTTGATATTTGGAATCTAAACATGTATTTAGATTTTTTATTTTGGGCCAAGTTTTCAAGTTGGTCCAAATCCGGGTCCAAAACTAAACTTTTGATATCAACAAAAATTGAATATATGGGGTCCTTTGATATACTGAATTGAACCATGTATTTAGATTTTCGGTTTTGGGCCCGTTATCAAATTGGTTCATATTGAGGTCCAAAGGGTCCATAACTAAAATTTGTATGATTTCATCAAAAATTGAATTCTTGGGGTTCTTTGATAAGCTGAATCTAACCAGGTATTTAGATTTTGGATATTGGACCAGTCCATAATAGGTAAATGACCAATTTCAAATTTTTCAGTTCTTATACCAAATTCATTCTGTGTAACAGTAAGAAACCTATGCTGTGTCAAATATTTAATCAGAGCTGTATTAAGCTTGAATGTTGTGTCCATACTTGCCCCAACTGTTCATGATTCGATCACTGCGCATTGTGTAGCATTTTATTCTTTCATGTCTTTGTTTATTTCATGTCTTTGTTTTTTTCATGTCTTTGTGTATTTCATGTCTTTTTTTCATGTCTTTGTTTATTTCATGTATTTGATTTTAAGCTGACCTGGGGACAACATGTCATATGACATTGAATATGAACTAATTTGATAACGGGGTGTGAAGATGTTTGCTTTCTGACTTAAACAAATTTCCCGGGAAAATGTATATAAGAATTAATTGGAAGATTGTGTATTATAATGTACCCTCGAAAGACTAATTTTACCCGTTTTGTAATTTTTTGTGGTAAATATAGTAATAGTTTATTTCATGTATTTGTATTTTTGTATAATGTCAGAAGGTTGATAATGTTATGAGGATAAAAAAGTGTTAAAGCATATTTAAACTTATGAATAAAGATTACCCAATTTAATTATCAACTGAAACATAACAGTCCGGTATTTGT